CTCTGTTCGCCAACCAAATCGGTCGGAACATTGAAGCCTACGTCGATGATATGGTCATAAGCCCGGACGAGAACATGCTACTACGGGATGTAGAAGAAACGTTACAAACTTTGGAGAAGGCTAGGATGAAATTAAACCCTGCCAAGTGTACTTTCAGAGTTGAGGAGGGCCAATTTTTGGGATACTATGTGACGAAGGAAGGAATCCAGCCAAGCCCAATCAAGGTAAATGAGCTAGAGGAGACACCTTCACCTTGCACGTTGAGAGATGAAAAATCCTTGAATGGAAAGCTGATCGCGCTCAGTCGGTTCATCTCCAAGTCGGTCGAAAAAGCCATGCTACTGTTCAACACGCTGAAAGGATGCATAGAGAAAAACAACTTTAAATGGATCGCGGAAGCCGAGTCGGCACTACAAAAGATAAAGAAAGTACTCCATGCACTCCCCACTCTCGCCAACCCGATACCCGAAGAGGTATTGCAAGTGTACCTGTCCACATCAAAAGACGCAATTTCGTCGGTGCTAACGTTCGACAGACAAGGATGCCAACTGTCGGTTTATTTTGTGAGTCGGGCACTACAGGGACCAGAGATGAACTAACCGATCATCGAGAAACTGGTTCTCGCCTTAGTCTATGCAGCACGGAGACTTTGTCGGTAATTTTAGGCCCACCAAATAGAGGCATTGACAAATTTCCCAATCAAAAAAATACTCCTAAAGCCGGAGATGTCAGGAAGACTTGCGAAATGGGCCATAGAGCTAGGAGAGCGCGACATCACCTACCACCCCAGAACAAGCATCAAAGGGCAAGCCCTAACGGATTTCTTGCTCGAAGTCCCAGTAGAACTCCAGCAGGAAGCAACAAAGGCAGACAACCAAGTGTGCTCGGAGAAAGAGGCCAACCAATGGTGGACCCTTCATACAGATGGGGCCTCCAGCAAAGAAGGACCAGGTGCAGGGCTGATCCTAACTAGCCCAATGGGAGAAGAACTCACATATGCCTTGCGCTTCGATTTTCACACATCCAACAATGAGGCAGAATATGAATACCTCTTGGCCGACCTCATATTGGCGGTGACAATGGGGGCGGAAAGAGTCACAACCATGAATGACTCGCGCTTGGTGGCTAACCAAGTACCAGGGGAGTTCGAAACAAAATACAAGCTAATGGATAAATATGTCAAAGCAGTACAACAAATCACGAGTACTCTAAAGAGCTTTGAAATAAAACAAATCTCAAGGGGAAATAATAGGAGAACAAATGCTCTCAGCAAACTGGCGTCAACATTCTTTGGACACCTCTCAAAGGAAGTATTGGTGGAAGTACTAAAAGAAAGGAGTATCGATGAGCGACGGGTCAATTCTATATAAATAGCACAAACCAACTGGATGACGCCCATCATAGACTATATACAACATGGTATACTTCCTGATGACCACGTAGAGGCTCGGAAGACGAGGATACGAGACACACAGTACGCGATGATAAAAGGGACGCTGTAAAGGAAGGGCCATACGGCCCCGTGGCTCAAGTGCATAGATGGCACAGCAGGAAAGATGGCCCTAAAGGAAGCCCACGCAGGTTCGGCCAGAGCTCATGAGGGAGCAAGAGCGCTCATGGGCAAAGTATTACGCATGGGCCTCTACTGGCTAGATATACACCAGGATGCGGTCGAGCTAACACGGACCTGCATGGAGTGACAGACTTTCTCGCCAACGTAAGAAGTCTCGCCATCAAAGTTAACAAGCATAGTTATCCCCTGGCCCTTTTACCAATGGGGAATCGATATAGTCGGTCCCTTCCCATAGGCACCTGGGAAAGTAAAATTCTTAATTGTGCGCGGTCGATTATTTTACAAAGTGGATAGAAGCAGAGCCAATGAAATGCATCAATGGGAAGCAAGTAATCAAGTTTTCCTGGAAAAACATCGTGACAAGATTTAGGATACCAAGGGTCCTAATCAGCGACAATGGCCTACAGTTTGCGGAAAACCCCTTTAAAGATTGGTGTAAAGAAAAGGGAATAGAGCAAAGGTTCACATATGTGGCGTACCCTCAGGCTAACGGGCAAACAAAGGTGTCAAACAGGACTCTGGTACAAGGGATCAAAAAACGGCTAGGCAAAGCAAAAGGCAACTGGGTAGATGAACTATTGGAGGTTCTGTGGTCATATCGAACCACACCACGAACCAGCACGAAAGAGACACCATTCTGCCTAGCTTACGGAGCTGAAGCAATGCTACCAACATAAATAATGATAGGGTCAATACGCACGGAATACTGCAAGGAGAAGGAAAACAGAGAAGGCTTGAGGGAAAACTTAGACCTCTTGGAAGAGCAACGCGAACACTCGAGCATACGCCAAGCTGCCTATAAGAAGGCAGTGGAGAGATACTACAATCAACGAGTAAGAAACAAAGCATTCCGAGTAGGAGACTATGTCTTACAAAAAAACGAAGTTAGCCATGACCAACCTCGGGGGAAGTTAATCCAAACCTGGGAAGGACCATACAAGGTAGTTGAGGCACACCACAACGGCTCCTACTCCATTGAAACTCCGGAGGGAAGACAAATCCCCAGGACATGGAACGCAAGGAACTTGAGAAAGTTCCACATTTGAATGATGGCGAAACCCTATACAGAAGGGAAGACGAGGGCGTTTAGTTTTAAAGCAAAGGAGCAGCTCCCTAGATAGTTGGGAAAAAGAAAACGTCCCGTGGCCGGACTGATCACCCGAACCAAGCAACAAATGCTTGGAGCAGTCCAGTAGGGAACCAAAATATGAAGCAGTTGTACGTAAGAATTATATAAATAAACATGCATTTTCTTTAGTACGTAATGCAATAGATACATTCCGCATGCCAACAAAACACAGTGTAAAGGATACTTATTGAATCCTAGATGCAACCCATACAAGACCAAGAGCATCATACATAAGCACATATACAAGTATAACACAAAGTTAGCCCAACATAAAGCATGATCAGATAAAAAAAATAAAAAAATAACCAAAGCCAAACTATTGTTTGTTTACAAAGACTTCAAACCATAACAAAGGCCTTAGGGGCTACAAGGCATCCAAAAACAACATGATACAAGGAAAAAGGAAACATCAGTAACAATTTTTCACACCCTGAAAGAGCAGCTCTAAAAACTTCATCAGTACCATCACCACCACTCCCACCAACGCTATCATCACCATTCCCATTAACACCATCACCACTCGTCCCTACACCTAACTCACCTACACCTTCCTCACCATCATCAAATGTACATAATGCCCTCACCCTATCAACGTCCAAATGACCTAACCCAAGCAAACCAACAAAATCCATAGTCGCGAAAGCCAGTAATGCATCATCCAAGGCTGAAGAATGACTAGACCGTGAGTCGCTAGCCGAAGGATCGTACGTCCCGACATCAACCTAGGCTTTCAAATTCGCCCAACCTGACTCCTCGCCAACAACAAAAGCAGCATGAAGAATGCGACTAATGCCACCAATGAACTCAGGGTGCTTGAGGAGTTTGTCCATCACACGTACAAGACCCACCTGGAGGAGCCAACTACGGTCCGAGCTTAACACCTCTAGCTCCCGCTCGCGATCAACAACATCTCTCTCCATGCTCTCATTCTGAATCATCAAACCTTTATTTGACTGGGTCAAAGATTCCACTTGACCCTCTAAAACACCACGCACATCCTCCAACACTGACTTCCCCAAAACCAAAAACCTATTCTCATCCTCCAACCGAACAACCATAGCACTTAACTCCGCCACCCTGCTCCTCAAGCTAGCTTCACTCTCAACCAGGGAAGAATGCAAATGTTCCAAATTATTGAACTGTTGCACACGATGGGACCCGGCGGCTAGATATATCATAGCTTGCGCAATGACATATGCAAGGTTATGGGCCAAAATGACATTGCTCATGGAATCCATGTTATCCAGGGTGGCTGGAGGGAGAGCATGACATGTAAAATCTAAAGCAGCAGAGCGCACAGACAAATGAGAATCGGGTCCCAAACTCCATCCCGCGATAAACACAGTAAGAGCATGGACAGACCCTTGAAACAATTGCTCCGGACTACTCCTTGGAGACGGAGGATTAACACCAACACTCACAGAAATCAGAGCAAGGGGCTGATGAGACACCCTCTCAATACCCTCAGACTGTTGAACGTCATCATCGAGTATCACCAACAAATCCCCTAGATCGGAGGGGGGAGAATATAACAAGCGCATAAGATCGCGACGCTGCATCACCCGCCACCCAATGAGTCCTTAACCACCCTCAGGCGTTGGTCCGCTCATCGCCTGCACGACTTTCCTTTTTCCAGCAATCTGGAGAGCGCTGGTTACTATCCCAACCTTGCTATCCACCACGACGGCAACGTCCGATCTAGTAAGACCAGGAGACGGAGTCACAGGAGTAACAACAACGTGCGAACCCGGGCAGCTCTCCGACGCGGTTGAACTACCTACAGGCTGGGGGGATACCGAGATAACAACGGGCAAGCGTCGGGGGGGGGGGGGAGAGGCAAAGTCTCATACATAAGCACCAAAAGGTGCTCCAACTTCCCCTGGTAGCGACCCCGTAGTACAAAATCCATAGAAGCAGAGCACTCGACACCTGTTAAGCAAAACATGTATATATAAAAAAAGAGAAAAGGGGGGGGGGGGGGAGAAGGAGAAAGGAAGAAGGAAAAAGAAAAAGAAAGGCGAGAACAATTTACCCTTTGAGATGGTGTAGAACACAAGCATCTCCCCCCAGGAGCGCTAACTGGGGCTCATTTCGACACCAGCAAGAATCACCTCTGACATCACATCAACATCCACCTGGAGAGAACACAGGAGATCTGCAGTTGCCTGGTTATGAGGAAACAACTTAGGAATAGTGTCCGAAGGCATCACCGCCCGATGCTCACTGCCGAGCAACTCCCGGTTAGCCCACAACCACCAGTCTTGCCAATTCTTGGGAGGCTTATTGTCAATAACAAGATTATGCCCCCCTGCGACGGGCGGAGAAAGTATACCTGTCATTGGTGGCAGCAAATTGGAAGAAGTAATAGGATACGAAGTAATCGGGCATGATGCCGTTAGCATAACATATCATTTCGAAAGCCACCACCTTGTGAACGGCGCCGGGAGTCAGCATCTGCACGCTACACCCACATCGGTGGAGTATCTCCTCCCGAAAGTCGGTCAACGGGAGACGAAGACCAGCATCGAAGGTCTTCAGGTAAACACCCACCTTCCCGGGAGGAGGTCGAGTAATCAAGGAGCCGGAGACAGGAAACTCCACCCCGTCAGCCGGAGTAAGACCATACGCCTCTTGAAGTGTGACGAACTCAGAAGAACTAGGGATTGAACCTTGAGCGATAGCCATGACGGAAAATATAGAGGAAAGAAAGAGGAGGGTGAAAAGGCAGGGTGAGAAATGAAAGAGAAAACCGTTTGAAGAGCAATAAAAGGAAAAAAAGCGGGGTCTGCAAAAATCTCTGACATGTGACGTAACCACTGCGCGCACGTTGAAACGTCACATCGCCGGAAATGAAGCGACAGTCGAGTGAAACAACGATACGTGTACCAATAGTTAAGTCCCGAACATCATAGTTTGGCAGCATACGATATGACTACTAGACTGGGGGACTTGATGACGCACCCCTTAGAGCGGGCCCGAGACAGGCGAGCCTCAACAAGGCACCTCCGGTGGGAGCCGACTCAGCGACCCCAGACTCCCGCGAGGCGATCGCACAGAAGGCTTGCCCTCGCCAAAATACTGTCTTTTAGCTGCAACCTGGCAACGACGGTTTCAGGCGACAAAACGCCCAGACAGAGCACAATCACCTGGACCAATCACCGGGCTGAACACGAATGTGGAGCAGGACTCCTTAATAAGAGCGCCGGATCCTGTCGGGATTGCAGTACCGGTCCCTAGTACGGATAGAGGAAGATCTCCACTATAAAAGGGCCTTATCTTAGCCCCGACAAAGTAAGTTTTTCCTTCTCCAATCATATACCTCCACACTCTAATATTTAACATACTAACTTGACCGTCGGAGCGTCTTTCCGGGACCTCCTCCCGGAAAGCGGCTGACGTGTTTCTTTTTTGTGTGACTTCTCAGGCTTAAGAATCGGCAAGTTCTACCCACAACAAGTGGTTCAGAGCCAGGTCGCATCATATATATATATATATATATATATATATATATATATATATATATATATATATATATATATATATATATATGGAAAAGTGAATATACCCTTAAGGGTATATAAGTTTACGTATCCAAACTCACCATAATACGTCGTTTTGTTTAATATATTTATTATAATGTTTTTAAACTTCAATCCTTAATTGATTTACTTTCAAGATTTTTAAAATTTTACTATTATCTTAGTATTACATCATATCTTCTTACCGAACACCTATTAGGCTATATGTATTATAGTTGAAAATAAAAATTATGTAAAAGGAACATAAATGTGAAATTTATAAAAATCTGGAACGTAAATCAAGTTAGAAGTTGAATTATAAGAACATTGGACAATTACAATGTATATATATGATACAAAACGACGTAGTATGATGTCTTTGAGTACTTAATCTTATATATTGCAATATATATATATATATATATATATATATATATATATATATATATATATATATATATATATTGCAGTCTTAAATCACACATTAACATACGTCGTGACTCACGACAACTCATAAAACATGAAGCTTGACATTGCCACCACGATGCACCTAACATTATTTTATTCATTGATATTAGCAATAATATAAGAGAATTCATAAATAAGCTCTCAAGTAAATATAAATATAAAGAAAAAAGAATTGTAATCGAAACAAATCCATAAAACTTGCAAACATGATTTTTTTTTTTTTTCAACCAACACATTGATAAGACCCAAGCTTTGAGCAACGATGAGACTAAAGATTCCGTTTGCCACTGAATTTTTTCCATAGTCCCATAAAAGATATAAGACTGCATCAAGAGCTCGGCATATATGAGGTGGTGTCTACATGGAATGGCAAACACCAACACTCATGCTTGGCATGGAGCTCGACATTCGTGGACTTGGCAAAAAGTTGCCATGTTCTCCCCTCTCATGCTACACTTTCTCGCTTTTCCTTTCTCCACTAACCATGGCAAATGCTACCTTCTTTGTATGGCAAGGATGTGGAGTTCGGCGCCTTCTATCACCCTCCCCTTGGTTTTATAGTTTAACTTGTAATGCAATTTATACATGTTACCTACTTATTAATGTTGTATGTATGATAAAAATATAAAAAAATAAAAATAGAAGATGATAATAAACTTTACTTTGTATCTTATAAATTTTAGTAATTTTTACAAACAGAAAAGCATGATTAATTTATAAAAGATAAATATCAAAAATGCTAAAATTGCATTTTATATTCTTTGTAGATACATTAACTTTTTTGGATTATTTTACAGAAATAATTAAAATTTGTTAAATTAAAGTCCATCCAAATATATATGGTCACGTATTTTGATCACGCAAATCTTTGATTCCGAAACCGTGTGCAAAAATATCGCCCACACCCGAAAAATTATGTTACAAAACCTTAAATATCACAACTACTCACCATCGTTGCTTCCTCCTCGTTGCACAATCGTCCTCATCCGCCACTTCTGCGCCTTCTTCACCACCGGCCACTAGCCTACTCCGTCACTGGCACTGCCATTTGTTATTCTGTATGTAATCTATGATTTCTCTTCATCTTAAAAAGTAAATTATCAACAGATTTTTCGTGTGTTAAGAGAATGTGTTTAATGTACTTGTACCAATGATATTTATGATCTCTATGCCGTTTGTGATTTTCTTTGTATCATGCGGATTGCATTTTAATCGCAGAATCATCCAAGGTTATTAAGATATAAGTTGAAATTTAGTATTGGACTAGAATCGGTTCCAAAAAACTGAGAACGAGAACTGGAATCTGTCACATCAGTTTCGGTGAATACAAAACATAACACGATATTGACACAACTTCAACATTTGGACTGAACTTGCAATATTTTGTAAAGCATAGGAACCAAATTTGTAATTTAGCATAATAAAAATAAGAATAAGATACTGGCATTAATATATGTTGTAGATATAGGAGTGATAATTATCAGTCAAATGTAATTTTGTATGTTTGTGTTCATGTAACTCTTTTATAGGATCTCTTATGTAAATTTGCTTTCTATATAATTAATTGTCTCCTTGTATAGAGCGAAACATAAATCCCTCTCTTTTCACATTCCTCTTCTGTCGCTGCTAATCTATTCCTCTCCTCTTCAGTTTAATCCTTTCTTCTCCCCATGTCTTCCTCATCTTCTTCATGATTTTTCTCGGTGTACGTGGTTTTACCCACTCAAAGTCAAATCTGATTTCTCCACGGTTTTTGATACGTTTATTAAATTCATTCAGACTCAATTTGATACCAAAATCAAGATTTTTCAAAGCGATGGTGGGACCGAATTTTTAAACCACAAAGTTAAAAAATTACTTACTGAAAATGGCACGTTTCATTAAATATCATGTCCCTATACTCCGCAACAAAACGGTCGTGCGGAGCGTAAGCACCGTCATATTGTGGAAATGGGGCTTGCAATGATTTTCAATGCTCATATTCCACCATCTTATTGGCTGCATATATTTAGCACTGTGGTTTATATTATCAATCGTCTACCTACAAGAGTATTGGCTTACCGCTCCCCCTTTGAGCTTTTATTCAAACGGACTCCGTCCTATATGAATTTCCGGCCACTTGGATGTCGTGTTTATCCCTACTTACGAGATTATTCTGATCACAAGCTTTCACCACGCAGCATCCCGTGCATTTTTTTGGGTTATCATGCTCAATACAAAGGATATAAATGTCTTGATCCGGTCACTTCTCGGATATTCATAACACGACATGCACGTTTTGATGACGATACCTTCCCTTTTGGCACCCACAATGCTCATACACCTCTCACTCAATTATCCATACACTCGTTCTTTGATGACTATCCTATCAAAACCCCACACCCTATCACCCCACCACCTGTGGTGTCATCATCTCAGCCCCCACCTACTGTGCCATGCACCTTGTGTGTGCCTCTAGCCAACACACCTCGCTCCAATCCTCAACCGCCCCCACCTATCAATACGCCTTCACCCCAACCTGACGACACCAACTTCATCAGCTCACCACAATCGACTTCATCTGAAGATAGCCTTTCGACCAACCCTCATCCTAGCTCGTCGTCCTCTCCGACTTCACCCCATAGCCTTCCTTCACCTCCTACCCATGGGCATCCCATGATCACACGAGCCAAGGCCGAGATTTTTAAACCTAAGCATCGTGCAGACGTCTCCTATGTGTACGATCAACCGTTACCCACGACTCTCTTTGCCTCTCGGGATCCCACACACCATTCTGAAGCCATGGGCACCACCAAGTGGTTACAGGCCATGCAATTTGAAATGCAAGCTCTTCATTTAAATCAAACATGGACGCTGGTTCCACCACCCGTCGAGCATAATATTGTGGGTTGTAAATGGTTGTTTCGTACAAAATTTCATGCTGATGGTTCTATTGAAAGATACAAGGCGTGCTTAGTTGCACAGGGATACAGTCAAGTTCATGGTCTTGATTTTTCCCACACGTTCAGTCCAGTGGTCAAAGCATCTACTATTCGTGTGGTATTATCTTTGACAATCATCAATAATTGGCCGCTACACCAGCTTGATGTTAATAAGGCCTTTCTCCATGGCACATTGAGTGATACTGTCTACATGCAACAACCGCCAGGCTTTGTTGATCCTCATCATCCAACCTATGTCTGCCGCCTACACAAAGCAATCTATGGTCTCAAACAAGCTCCGAGGGCTTGGTTTCATCGTCTTAGCTCATTTCTTCTCACCAATGGGTTCACGTGTAGTCGAGCTGATCCTTCATTGTTTATCTTTAAGCGTGATGATTCCATCTTATATTTACTTGTTTATGTTGATGATCTCATCCTCACAGGTAATCACCCTGATCATATTCAATCCTTCATTGAAAAGTTGGATCATGAGTTCAAAATCAAAGATCTGGGCAAGCTAAACTACTTCCTTGAACTTGAGGTTCTCCACACGGATTCAGGCCTATTCCTTGGTCAGTCCAAATATGCTCATGATATTGTTTCACGTGTCGGGCTACTTGATTCTTCGTCATATGTTACGATTAGGTCCGCCTCCGTCTCGCTTGAGGGGGGATATCAGTCAAATGTAATTTTGTATGTTTGTGTTCATGTAACTCTTTTATAGGGTCTCTTATGTGAATTTGCTTTCTATATAATCAATTGTCTCCTCCCGTTTTGGGCAGGGAGTCATTTTACCACAATAGTAAATAAAATATAGATATACCAAGGTTATAAACAACTCAAACAAAAATGAAAGGTAATTTTTGAATAAGTAAAGAAGAAAAAGGTTGTATATGGAATTTTATTTTCAAATTCATATCAAATAAAATTGTTACGTAGATAAACCTCACCATAAATCTTGTTGCGATCCTTATCTCCAGCAGAAGAAATCTTGCTATTGGTAGTTTGAAGAAACTAGCTTCCGGTGACGTTTTTTCGAGGTAAGAATTTTGTAAAAGCTTAGTTAGTTTACTTGTTTATGCATCACGTACGTAGAAGACCAGATAAGTTTGTCAAATGAAGATAAATATAATAGCCGACAAATATTCTCTAGACCATTATCTCATTGATGAGCAGGGTATCCTTTGATTTTGAGAGTCCTGTACCAAAAATCAATATTTAGTATAATAATTCGATAAATGTTATAAAAACAATCACAACAAAAGAACAATTATACAATATATATAATCTTAAATGGTTATATGAATAATGAAATTCTCCTTGTATTACTTGTATTATTGGTAGCAAAGTTGGTTAACCACTCTTCATAATCATTATTTTTCCATATATCATTCTTAATAGCTATCATAGCCAATCTATTTAGTTTTTTCTTATGACATTGCCATAAGTATGACTTTACTACTTCAATTTTGATCTCTATCAACATTATCAAACATTAATATCACTACTCTTTTGATTCTAAGAAAAAAGTTTATTTTTATTTTATTTATTTATATTTAGTTTTTGATAAACCTATCAAGAGCCCCCCTTTGAGAGTTATTTAATTCTTTATTATTTATTTATTTATTTATTTATTATTATTATTATTATTATTATTATTATTATTTGCGTTTTTATTATCCAATAGATGTTTAAGAGGCATAATATTTGAAAATTATATATTATATATAACATTAACAATGATGTGAAAATCATAAACATTGTTCTAATCAGCAAATGATACAAAACATGATCAAATTCACAAAACCTAGAGGAAACTAGCAATTAGAGAATTCACTCAAAACATAAATCAGATTTCGTAATAGACTAATATGAAGTAGGAGAAATTCAGTCATTTAGAATATGTGTATTGGTGTGCTAAGCGACAACAATCAGAATATAAAAAAGAGAAACTGTCAGATTTAGAAATCAAGAAGAAGGGATACTTGTTTAATTTGTGTCGATCAGCGGAGTCCAATGGACTCAGTAAAGCAAGACACAAGAAACTTTGCTTGATCTTTGTAATTTCCGAAAATTTGGAATTGGAACAAAAAGTTAGCTCTTACTTGCAGCAAATCTACATTAGCTCATTATTAGCCCAAATGCAAATTTTACTCTTAAGCATAACTTTTTAAAACGTGAGCTGTGATTTTTAATCGTAACGTGAACCATTAAATTGGAACAAAACATCGGATTTTGTCTTTTGGATTACAAGATTGCCGATTGTTGGAGCATTGATAGTGATCCAATTGTATGTAAAATTGGGTCATGTGGGGTCATCCTCATCGCACACCTTCAAAGACGCCCATATCCATGAGCGTATTGTACTTTGAGATGTTCTTTTCCAAGCTATTCCATAGTGAGACTAAAACGTAGAAATTTAGTCCTATTTGATTTAATATTTAGCTTATACCATTTTATTCCCATCAAAATATTTTACAATATATGTGTATACACGTATATGAATGTAACATCATCTCTTTGAATCTTCTATTGTTTAGGAAAATATAAAATATTACTCATGAAATGTTACAAAATGTATCATATTCTCAAAGACCAAGAATATCCACAATAAAAAATCTAAGTGACCCACATCAAACCTACCTAGAATGTCAGTCGTCGGAACACTAACTATATTTTGGGTGTGCCAGAGTTTGAAGCATAAACGCATCCCCAACGACTAGACTCTCATCGTGGGGTGGGTATGCACAATAAACGGTTCAATGGAATGGTTGAATGAACCGGAATGCATGGTTAAATGGGTTAAATTCAATCATAGTGAGATGCCAAGTTGACGTTCAAAGGATTTGGAATTCAATGAGATAAAACAAACTTTTATAATTTTTTTAAAACTATGTTCCATTGAACTTTTCAATGCATTATAAGAAGTAAATTATAAAGTTGTAAGAAAACTGAAATAGTGATATGACAATCCATTAAAAGTTTTAGAATTCAATACATTATGGATGCCTAAAATACACGTCATAGACTCGGATAAATGTGAGCACTAATCATAAGCTGATATACTTTCTCTTTTGATGAAAGATTAATGGCAGGTAGTAGAAAAGGGTCACCAGCGATAGGCATTGATCTGGGAACAACATACTCATGTGTTGCAGTTTGGAAAGACAATTGAGTTGAGATCATAACAAATGATCAAGGCAACCGTACGACCCCATCATGTGTTGCTTTCACTGATGCTGAACGTCTCATTGGCGATGGTGCCAAGAATCAAATTGCAAGGAACGTCGGTCAGTTCACATTTTTCATGGCTTAATTAATAATGTTTCTCTTTGATTTCATCTTATGCTTGATTTACTTCGGATTCATAGATGCAAAGAGGCTGATTGGCAGAAGATTCAGCGATGCCGAAGTGCATGATGACATGAAGTTGTGGCCTTTCAATGTTATCGAAGGGACAAGCGACAATCCCAATATTGTGGTTACCTACAAGGGTTATGAGCAACGGTTTTCTGCTGAAGAAATTTCATCAATGGTTCTTACTAAGATGAAAGAAGTTGCAGAGGCATATATCGGTGACACTGTGAAAGATGCTGTGATCACAGTCCCTGCTTATTTCAATGATTGTCAACGTCAAGCAACAAAGGATGCAGCCACTATTGCAGGTTTAAATGTCTTGCGCATGATCAATGAGCCAACAGCAGCTGCAATTGCTTATGGTGTAGGCAATATGTCAAGTTTCAATAGGAAAAGAAACGTGCTTGTTTTTGATCTTGGTGGTGGCACTTTTGATGTTTCACTTCTCACCATTTCAAAACAGGGAACTTTTAAGGTTAAAGCCGTTGCTGGTGATACTCATTTAGGAGGTGAGGACTTTGATAATCGTATGGTGACTTATTGTATTGAGGATTTTAAGAGGACATGGGACTTGGATGTGAGTGGAAACAAAAGAGCAATGACAAGGTTGAAAGCCGAATGTGAGAAAGCGAAGAGAGTTCTTTCCTATGCCACCCAAACTTCAATTGAACTAGATTCCTTCCACGAGGGTATTGATTTTTCCATGAAAATAACTCGCGCTAAATTTGAGCAACTTAATATGAATCTTTTCACAAAGTGTATCAACCATTTGGAGACATGTTTAACCGATGCAAAAAAGGAAAAGGGGAGTGTACATGAGGTGATTCTTGTTGGTGGATCGACTAGAATTCCAAAGGTCCAACATATGTTGCAGGAATTCTTTGATGGAAAGGAGCTATGCAAGAGCATCAACCCTGATGAAGCTGTTGCATATGGGGCAGCAGTTATGGCTTCAAAGTTAAGTGGTGGGTATACACAGATGTTACAGGAGTTAGTGCTAATGGATGTTACTCCATTGTCACTTGGTAGGGAGAATGATGGAAAAATTATGTGGGTTGTGATCCCTAGGAACACTCCTATACCTACAAAGAAAACCACAGATATTCTTACTGTTGAAGATAACCAAACATATATGGATGTTAAGGTGTTCCAAGGTGAACGCAGTAGATCTACTGATAACTATTTGTTGGGATCGTTTACAATTTCTGGAATTCCACCTGCCCCTAAAGGAGTCTCGGTAGTTGAACATTGCTTTGAAATAGATGATGATGGTATCCTCACAGTTACAGCTAAGATAAGACTGAAAAACTTTCTCTTACGAATCTTAGTGGAAGGTTGTCAAATCAGGAGATTGAGAAAATGGTGAAGGATGCTAAGAAGTTTAAGCATGAGGACAATGAGTTCAAGAGGAGAGCTGAAGCATACAATGCGTTGGATGATATCATATATGATTTGAAGAAAAAGATCAAAAGAAATGATATGCCACCAAAGGACTTGAAGAATGTGGAGAATGCAATTGATGATACAATTGAATGGCTTTCTACTGGAAAAGATGCAGCTGTTGATGAGATTGAGCGCAAGAAGGACTACCTGGACTTCATTTCTAGGCTTGCATTTTCTAAGTAAACTGATCCCCCCCTTTGCATAAGATTTTGATGTGCTGCATTCTGTGATGTTTTTCTACTTTTATTTTTTGTGCAGATTTAAATTGGATTCTCAAGCTAAGTTAAAAAAAAAAAAAAAGTCAAACATGGTATTTAAATTGGTTGTAGAGTTTTTGACAATTGATTCCCCTAAATGAACTTTGCATCTATATTTCTTCCCAACATCGTTAAGTCTTTGAATTTTTTTTACCATTCCACATAGAATGTGAGAGGTCCTACATCCTCATGATGGATTCAAATTTTAGCCTTGAAACAGAGATTATTTTGAGTATAGAAGAGGTTATATAAATATAAATAACTAATAATATACACTACAAGAAAAGTCTTTATTAGTAACTAATTTTTAGTGTGACCTAAAATTTGGCCACTGAAAGCATCTTTTAGTCACTAGAATTTAAGTGGTCATTGAATTTTGGTAATCCTACAAATTTAATGACGAATTATATGTGGTGGTCACTAACTCGGTCACTAAAACGTGAAAAAATTAAACTACTTTTGTTTCATATCATAACAACTATTCAGTGACTAAAAATAAGTGTCACTATGTTAACTATACAGTGACTACCAATAAGGTCAATATGTTATTAGTGACAAAAAAAATGATCACTGTATTGGATGTTTAGTGACCAAAAATAATGGTTACTGACTACTCTTATTTAAAACTTCACATCTACTCTTTAAATAGGGAAAAACAATTAGTGACCACCCAATAGTGGTCACTGATGAATTATAAGAAAAAAACTAGTGACCATAAAGCACTGGTCACTGACTATATATATATAATAATAATAATAATAATAATTTTCAATTAATAAAAACTAAAATATTCTTAATTAATACTTTTTAATTTTGAAAATAACTACAACTTTATTTCTTTTTATACATAATTTCGTAAAAACTGGTTACATTATTGACTGGTACTTATCAAACATATTACTATAATAATATTTGGAAAAAGTTTGAAAAAATAAAAAGAAAAACACATTTGAAAAAGTCTGTTGTATTTATATTTTGACTAAATAAGGAGATTTGACTAATTTTGACCAAATTATAATTATACCGATAGTTTTTGTAAACACGGTTAATTGGTTTAGTAAGAGGATAAACAAGATTGACTAATTTTGACTACCAATAAAGAGTACTATGCCCTAAATCGACTCAACACATCTCTTTTGCCCTAAATTGATACATAACAATCTTCAGTTTGACAACATTGCGCCGAACCATCGTCGTCGGACCATCGTCACCGGTCCGTCGCCACCAGTCCATTGTCGCTCCATCACATCTCCTTCCAAGCATTCAGATACTCCGAGATAACTTCCCTCCATCAGTACAATGGTGTTACAAATTCATAATGTTTGTCGGCCGATTCTGTCGCCGTCGTCAACTGGATCACTGTCATCATGGCCGACTAAATAGTTTACCATCGGCAGAGACGTTCACCAATCCGTTGCTTCAACCAAGTCGATCGATAGTAAAACTAGAAAAAACTTGAGGTCTTCGGTGAAGGTGAGATCGAGCTTGGAGATGTACGTTCCAACGGTCGTTGTAGGTCAGGTTACCGAGGTTGATAAGGATACATTTTGGCCAATCGTTATTGCCGCCGGTGATAAGACCGTTGTTCTGGATATGTAGACTCAATGGTAATTAATTGGCTCAATTATATTCTCCTACATTTGCTATTATTTAATTCCATGATTGCTTTTCTGAGGAGGTCAAATATGGTATACTTCTCTTTTGTGATATCGAAACCCTAGACTTGGCTCCATGGAGTGTTTGTTTATGGAATAAATCATTAAAATCAACAATTTACAAGTATCACAAAGGAAATTGGAAGTTAATATCTTAATGAATTTTTCATGTATGGAGGATAGGGATTAAGGTATAAATGTGTTAAAAATATTCTTGTTTCCTAATGATTCTGAATATGGAAGTAGGAAACAAATGTAAGCTTTATTGAATCTTGACATACACCATCTAACTTAGTTTTCCATATCTATTCATAAACATACAAATCCAGGTTGGAAATTAAGCAATCAGCTGAAGGAACACAAGAAGTTCCTGGACTCTCTGAGGTGCCTATGTACAAGATATATGAAATATGGGAACTGCTCAAAAGCAAGAGTCATGTCAGATCTGTTGGATCTACCAATGCCAATGAGCTAAGTAGCCAATCTCACTGGTAAGTGTATGTGTGTGTGTATTCAGTTATAGAATTGTAGTTGTGAATATAAAATCAAGGTGGAATCTTTATAAAATATGTTGTTGTGTAGCTTATTGAGAGTGACAGTTCGTGGGGAGAATTTGGTGAATGGATAGTTCGTGGTTATTTGATTTGGTGAGAGTCTCTGCTCAAGCTACATGCCTAGTTGCCTACTTCAAAAGAAGCTGCTCTAGTCAAGAAAGCGCCCAAGGTGTGTTTCACATTCCCTTTTGCTTTCATCTTTTTGATATATTTTAACTTGTCTTTCTTTCTTTTCTTGTTTGCTTACTTTTTGAAACAGTTACTACATGGTGTCATAGGTAATTTCTACACTTCTATCTTATTGATAAGCTATGAATTCATATTTCATTTTCACAATTTAAATTTCAAGAAAGTATAAATTTCTTATTTTTATGTTGTTTTTGGCATGAAAAAGGCTTGGTAAGATCCTCAGTTTCAGCAACATTGCCTCAAATAAGTTCAAGATTGGATGCAGTGTGGGGAATCCTTTATAGTTTTCCTAAGGTTAGACCTTTCTTCCTTTTAGTTAATAATTTTCAGTTTTATTACAGTTTTACTAAGATAAAAAAACTTGATTGTGACAGGTTCAAACACATCCTATTGTTAGCTCTTTGGTCATTATTTTGTAACCATATATTATTTATGGTGTTGATAATTAGATTATTAGATACTATTTGGTCATTATTTTGTAACCATACATTATTTTGTAACCATACTGACTTTAATGGCTCAGGTTTGACCTTCATTCTTTGGTCAACTAGGTTCAAGAATTTATATCTCATTATTTTTCTGCACTTTTTTTATAAAAATTGTAACTTTTGGTTGTGAGTGTAGGTATAGCACCTTTCTTGTGTTATATCCAACTGACATCTCAAGTGAAATTGCTATGATATATAATGCATTGCCTTATATGAAGGTAACAACCCTCCATTCCTACTACCATATAATATGACCAGTTTACCCTTTTCTTTTCCTTGACTTTTTGTACTAAGTAAAAAAGAGACACCTATATAGATAGCTTACCAGATTTTTTTCCCATTAAGTCGTGTATGGGTATCCAGGACCAAAATAAACTATTTGAATCCAAGTAAATGACCATTTTACTCATCTATTTAGAAATATTGCTTGTTAACAAATAATTAGTATCTAACTCTTGCTTGAGTAAATGGTCATTTTACCCTTCTCTTTGGTCAATGATCATTTTACCCTTCTATTTAAAAACAATGCTTGCTAACAAGGAAACAATATCTTACTTTTGTTAGATTAAATGACCGTTTAATCCTTCTATTTAGAAACAATGCTTACTCACAAAAGAAATAGCATCTTACTCTTATTTGAGCAAATGATCATTTTACCCTTCTATTTAGAAACAATGCTTACCAACAAAAGAAACAATATCCTACTCTCCTTTGAGTACATGACCATTTTACCCTCTATTTAATGAATGACTATTTGACCATTCTATTTGGTAAATGACCATTTTGTCATTATATTTTGCAGGAGTCTGAAAACTATTCCATAAGGATGCCCAATAAATGAAACTTTTCATTTGATTACTTCTATTTTGCTTTTGTGGTGTTAGCAGATCTATAATTCCATGTATAATTTAGGTGGGAAATCATTCGTTCTTATATGAAGATTTATTTGGTTATTGTTTTTGTAATATAAACATTTATAGCATTTTCCTTGTCTTTTGTCTAATTGGATATTATTATATTTCATTTTGAAAATGACATTTAATATTTCAATAATTTCTTAATTATTGACCCTTTTTTTTTTTTGTCTAAAAGGCTAAATCAGTGACGACCTGTTATAGTCACTAATTAGATATACCAGTGACCACTTTCTATGGTCACTAATCGGATAAAATAGTGACGACTTTTATTGGTCACTAAGTAGATAAAATAGTGATGACTTTCATTGATTAGTGACAACATTTAGTGACGGAGCGGGTCGTCACAAATTTAGTGACGACTATATTTTTGTCACTGTTTAGTGACCATATTTATATCTGCTCACTAATTTGGTTTTGTGACGGACCTATAGTGACGAAAAGTGACGACCAAAATTTTGGTCACTAAATCATTTAGTGACGACTCATTCTATTGTTAGTGACCATTTCGTTTTGGTCACTAATTGGCATATTTTTTGTAGTGATAGCAAATGAATTATTTCCTTCTTTTCACTAATATTTAACAGATGTGATGGTGGGCTGTTTGGATAAGATTTATCGAACAAAATGTGTAACAGATGAATTCTTTCCTTCTTGTTACTAATAAACACAAAGCTAGTTCTTATATAGAAAAACTGTGCATCTAAATTTTAATGTAAAGAAATATATAAAGAAGAGAAGCTAAATGGATGTCAATGTTTGAAGCATTTCCCTAAAGTGACTACAATCATTTATCCATTTCATACTTACATAGCGTATTCTTCACACTTCCATTATTTTGCAAGTAAAATATTATCATTGCCTTGAAGTAAATTCAACAGATGCATACAAGCATTTACAAATTACATGCAATTATAAGATTAGTAACCATATATAGTTGTACATTGTTTGGTATTCAAAAAGGACAAATAGTGGGAATTAGGTGGAGAAGTTTAGCACAACTATTGTTGTTACCATCAAACTTTAACTTATTAAAACTAAGTTCAAAATTCCCATTATAAAAACACACCCACCCATTTGTTTCCCTCGACATATTAGCGCCTCCATAGTTCCTTCTCACCATTCAACACTTCCCTCCTTCACCGGTCATCTTCCTTTTGTCCCTGTCGGCGCCTTCCACACCGGTGGGCGTCTACAGCCGCTGCCAACCGCCTCTCCATCTCATCAGATCTTCCAGCGATCACCTTCCTTCTCAAGTTGCTCTGATTGCTTGCTTCTTCCCAGACCGCGCTTTTCCATCTATAACAACTCTTCCATCTATAACAGGTTTGTTGAAATTGTTTAAAAAAATAGCTAGAATTATTGAATCATTTTTGAAATAGCTAAAAAAATGGCTTCATGTAATTTTCTTTAATAGTTGAACCTATTTTTGAAATAGCTAAAATTTCTTTAGACTGTGTGGTTTTGTCACACCCCCAAACCAAGGATGGCGGAAACGTCCGGGGGTGGAGGACTTCATGTATAGTATCAAAACCACAATTTCAATAGTAATTTAAGCAAACACAACCAACATATATATAATTGAAAAAGTTACATCACTTGTATGAATTACATGTTTCAAAATCAATTACAATATGTTGACAAAATATGAAAAGTTTGACGCCTTAACGTCCTATCCTCAAAAGCACTTGATTACCTGTTTATTGATTCCCTGAGAATACAAGTTGTTTGAAAAGTGTCAACACAAAGGTTGGTGAGTTCATAAGTTTTTGCTATACAACCTAATAGAAGTCTTTCTCATGTAAATGTCGCGTTTGTTTCAGAAAAATCCGATATTTTCCTTAAAATCTGTATAATGTAGCCTTATGACCAAAGACCAAAATGTATAAGAAACTATTCTTACTTAGTAGAAATGCTATGAGTTTGAATTGGTATAAAAAGTGAATTTAAATCAACATAAAACCTACTTAGGTTTTATAAAATCCCGTAAACTTTATGAATTCTTATCTCCCTATGTGAGTCGCTATAATCATACTATGACTGAATGAACCTGCCACGACGTTTCTCAGGCGTCGCGAAAATGAAATGACATTTGTCACCCGTAGACCTGCAGGTCCCACTGTATCTAGCAGCAAGGTGTGGGGTGTCAAACCCAATATAGATCTATATACAAGTATCACGTTCTCCCTCCAGGAGACTCTGATTATAACTAACAGGAATTATATTCAGCACTCGGACGTATGGAAAGAGAATGTCTCACAATTTAGGGTACCAAGTTTACGTATAATGTGTGTGAGTGTAATACTTTTCTTTATGAATGTACCCTTTTTGTATGAGTGTGTTATGCAATGTATCATAAACTATACTTATTATAGTATATCTAAAACGTTTGTAATATGTAAGAACTCTTTTATGGAAATGTATTAGTGTTATGAATTCATTAAGCTATACTTTTTATAGTTTAATATACGTGTTCTAAAATGAATGAATACTATTTATCATGAATGACTTAGTTTTAGTTTATGATGATAAACTAACAAGGAAACACATTCAGTAATTAGAACATATGATTATACACTTTGCTCAACATAATACAAAGTGTTATGATATTTACATGATCTTAGCTAACTTTAACCATTCTGCACTGTTTTGGAAAAATCATAGAAAAATCATACGAAGTCGAAAACTAGATCCGTAAATTCTGAGAGTTCCAAAATGTGTCTAGTTTAATCATAATTTTTATTACGATTTTTAATGACCTCCAACTTGGGTGAAAATGTCCATAATCACAGACTGGTCCGGATTGCTGTTGGAAATGATAGGCAGGTTTTTAAAAATCACCATAAATTGTAGAAAAATCGTATGGAGATGTGCAAGTAGTAATTTTAAAGCTAAGAACTTCAACTATTTGCACCTTATACAGTTTTGAAAACAAAAATGTTTAAGTTTCCCAGAACAGTCCGTGAATGGAGTTGAACGTTTCTGATGAAGGCTGTTAGAAAAGTTTAGTTATGTTCTTGGTGTTTTAACTTGTATTCCCCCCCTAAAAACTTGAGAAAACATGAAAATGTAGGGGTATGAACTCACCTTAAGTTATTTCAGTAGATGATTGTTGAAGAATGGAAGTGTTTAAATGAAGAACACTTAGAGATGCCTTGAAGATTTTCGAGAATATAACATCATAGTTATGGAGTTTGTGTAAGCAATCAATGATTTGAGTAGAATGAAGTGCAATAATCATAAGTAGGATGAATTATACTTACTAAGAGTGGAAGAACACTTGAAAATCAGCCTTGAATCTCGAATTTGGTAGAGAAAAAGTTTGAGAGAAAAGTGGTGTTTGATACTTGGTGAAATGAGAGCAAATGAGAGAAATAAGGAGAGAGAGAGGATGTTTTGTTCCAGCTCTAAAAATGTGGGAATGGGTGGAAATTGAGTGTAAGGGACATTGAAGTGACCTAGGTAAGGTGGGGAGGTGTGGCTGGTCATAGAGTGGGTGTGGGGTGGTTGCTTGTGACATAAGATAAGGCAAGGTTAACACTCCACCTTAAATAAATACCCCATTAGATTTCTATTATTTAGATGATGATTTTCATGAAAATATGTTTAAATTATGAATATTTAGGGTTTATTATGTTAAAATATAATTTCTAGAGAAAATTCCGCGTTAAAAAAAACGGGCTTAAAATTTTAAAAATATCAAAAAGGGGCTAAAAGTGACAAAATTCTGAAATCTGGCCGAGTTTCGGTCTTCTGATGCAAGAAGAAGAGGAGAGACGGCAGAAACTGAGAGGAGAGAAGAAACCGAGAGAAGAGAAGAGAGAGAGCAGAGACCGAGAGGTGGGAAAGAAGAGACCGAGAGAAGAGAAGAGAAAGAGTAGAGACTGAGAGCAGAGGCGTGGAGACAGAGAGGCGGGAGGAGGCCGAGAGGCGACAGAGACAGAGAGGAGAGAAGGAGACAAAGAGGGGACAAAGACCAAGAGGGGCGAGGAGACAGAGACCGAGACTCGGTCTCGGCTACAAGGATTCGGTTTTCCAGGTTCGACTAACAGAGACTCGGTTCGGTCCTGGTACGTTCGGTCTAGGGTCTCGGCCTTAAGGAGCTTCGGCTCCTTGAGAAGGGTTTTGGTTCCTAAGGTCCATTTTTCTCGTTTTTACCCCGTTTTAAGCCATTTTCGACCTGGTTAAGGGTCGGAATGACCCGAATGATTCTAAAAAGTTACGGGAACTTTTAAGAGAGATTTGGGAGAGATTTGACATTCTTGGAGAGATTTCCCATACAAAGAGATATTTGAGAGAGGTTTTACATACTTGGAGAGATTTGACATTCTTGGAGAGATTTCCCATACAAAGAGATATTTGAGAGAGATTTCACATACTTGGAGAGATTTGGGAGATATTTGACATTCTTGGGGAGATTTCTCATACAAAGAGATATTTGAGAGAGATTTCACATACTTGGAGAGATTTAGGAGAGATTTGATATTCTTGGAGAGATTTCTCATACAAAGAGATATTTGAGAGAGGTTTCCCATACTTGGAGAGATTTGGGAGAGATTTGACATTCTTGGAGAGATTTGGGAGAGATTTGACATAGAGAGAGATATAGTGAAAACAATTGAGAGAGGTTCCATGTGTGACCATTGTGAGTGTTTGGCTCCACAACGCAAGGTTCTTGAGCCCCGTTAAGTCATGATTAAGGATCCTACACACTCCCGATGAGTATGCAACATGGTTTTATTAGTTTAGTTCATTGATTAGCACTAAGGCTCAGGAAATTTTAACACAAGACTTTTCCCAAGTGATGTTTTCCCATTAATATAGTAAGTTATACACTATGTACATAACACAAACCCTAATACACAAGGTTTAATCGAGTTGACCGGTTTGACTTGATGACTTGACTTGACTCTAGATTGACGATTGTCACATCATCCCCCCGTTAGAGGGAATTTCGTCCCGAAATTTAAACTCGGATGAGACTTCAAGGGTTTGGGAAAAGATGCGGATACTTTTGATTCATTTGATCTTCGCGTTCCCAGGTAAACTCAGGCCCTTGTTTTGCGTTCCAACGAACCTTCACTATGGGAATGCGACTATGTTTCGTTCTCTTGATCTCTCGATCCATGATTTCGATGGGTTCTTCCACAA